TCTGGCATGGTAGAACCTTGAGGAACGATTGTTCCAGCCAGTATAGCTCGATTGAATCATCACGATAGGCAAGCCCGACCACCACGTCAAGGTAGCAGCAACGGTTCTCTACCATTGACCGAGGATTTTAGTAAAACTGGTCTTTCTCATCGTCGCTACCATTGACAGTCGTGTAGGGCAGGGTGATGTCCCCATTGCTTTCTACCTTCTTTGTCTTAAAGAATGTTTTGATGACCCTAGACCCATAATATTCCCGTTCTATAGGCGCTCCTCATCTTTCTCTCTAACGCACCAGTGAAACTCCCTGTGTGGACAGGACATTTTTCTTGATGGACAGAATACAGGAGAACTTCTCGGAAAGCTAATCACTTCTATCCAACTTGTGTTCAGGGGGTCTCTCCAATTCCAAATGTAGCAAGGTTGTGTCTTCTCACTGTCACGTCTGTTCGAATGAACTTCACGGTTTCTCCCATTGTTCCGAAGGATCTTGACTTTCACCACGAAATGTCATAACTTTTCTAAATGAATACACCTCAGCTCTCATAAGAAAAGTAAATAATCCAAACACTGATGCCGAGTTTGAAACTGGTGTATGATTTTCAAGGTCCAAAAAAGAACACGCGATTTTCGAGCAGATTATAAAGGCTGTGAACACGTAGTATAGTGCTATCGCATAAAAGTGATTATTAACCCTCTGGTATACCCTCACAAATATTCATCCGTTTATTTTTATTGACTTTACTCGCTGAACAACAATACCTGAGAAGTATCCTATCTTTAAACCTATGTTGAAAATTATTGACTATGCCCGTAAAAATGGCGTGTAACGTCTCTATTGTAAATACATTCCATTGTTATTTGAAGTCGTATGGTTAGCCTGTTTTAGCAGGAAACCTTTCTACAGGAAAGATCTTAGTAATCATGCTTTGGGGAAAGACTAATAGTATTGTAGTTATATATACTTATGAGTTAATGTGGAGGCAGAATAACTAAAATACAGGCCAGACTGTCCGGCGAGTAGTCGTTTTGAGGACGTTAAATTAAAGTGACAATTGACTATCGCAATCCTAGAAAAGATCTCATTTTCGATGACGAAAAGCTAGACTTTCATAACGTTTGAAGGCTTACCACGAATTTCTGATATTCGAATCTTCTTGTCACCCTTTTATCATGTCTATTCAAATGTCATGTAGCAAGATTTTACAGACCTAATCTTTTTATTAACTCTGCTGGTGATGTATCTCAATCCGTGACCCAATTTGTGTATCAATGGAATTGCATGTGAGAGTGGCGTAAACCTGATTATCAAAATCAAGTTATCATTGTTATTAGAGTAACTTTCCGAATACAAGAATTCCTCGTAGAGACGAAGCACGATGCGGTTATTGGATAAACATAAGTGCAAGGCTTTTATTGTCAATCGTTCAAGTAACACTCGGCAAGACATCATAGGCTAACACAATACTGAAAACAGGGCTGATGAATCATGATATCATAAATGAAACACATTGAGGATTTCATGTTTTGTCAGAAGTGTTCAGAACTCTTCACGGCGTTCATCAGTTAACATTAACATTCATTCATTAGATAAACAACTGAGCTGGAGCTTATGTTCTGATGACATAAAAGTTGCCGGAGATAAATGATAAGGGATGATGTTCTAAAATCTAATCAAAACTTCATATATAAATAGTTTAAAACATGTATGATGCCTATCACTATAAACATGGGTGCCACAATGCACATTGTAAAAACATAGTATGACCATGATACTAATAGTGAATCGCAATTAGGAAACCAACTATTCGTCCTACCAGGGATCGATTGATACAGTTACTTCTAAAGGTACAAGTCAATGAAACAGTTACCAAATGTGGTAGCCGGGAAAAGTCGAAGTGATTGGATAACAGACGATAAATGGAGTTTTGAGAGACTTGTAACCAAATAGGTTCCCATAAAATGAACTTACTCAAATATTTTACCACTCGCAAAAGGGAATAGATTAGCTCCTTACTTACTGTTTTCGGGAGCTTATGAAATTTTTTATTCAGTCTTGTATCATGGATCTCATCCTTCAAGTGAAAAAATTCAATACAAACTGCAAGCACGACCGAAATGAACGCCTTGCTGAAGTTGATGAGTATTACACCAACCGGTGAACCGTTATCTTGAGAAACTGTGAATCCTCTTTCACAATTAGTAGACCAGTCAAATGAGGAAGTCTATCTTAAAGCTTCGTTTCTTTGCTGTTAACAAATTGTGTAACTCTCCACTGCTTAAGAACCTCTCATCAACTATTTTCCATATATATTAAATGCCATGCTGCTTGCATTTACAAGCTGATACACAAACATGATCGTTTTCTTTCCGTTGCTAAAACTAGAACCAATGACAGGATCTTTCTAATCCTCTGAGAATGGAACCCCAGAAATTGATGTGTCGGACAACTCAGTAAGCGGTTCCCAAATAACGTCTGCGAGAACTGACAGTTTCTGCAGAAGGAATCCATCGGGATCCGGTGATTTGGGCAACAGAATATCCAGCAATTGCATTGTAGAGATATGAATAAGGGTTCCGTTAAACTGGTTATGTCTGCTTTGAATCAAAATGAATTCAAACTTTCCAGAGTATGACTTAGTCATCGTGTCCTAAGTATTTATGTACCAATATGATGACGAAAAACACTTAACCGATTGGTAAACAATAAACCGAACAAAGGAATATTGGAAGGGTTGTAGTGGCATTGGTTCCTAATCACACAACCTATGAAGCTGAACATATAATAAGTAAGGTTTACATTCAATATGTACCAATATAGAAAAGGTCAAAAACGGTGAACTGAGGAACTCTTAATCGGTACAGGATGACCTGGAATTGCAATCGTGGTCACTTTATGTAACTCGTTCCTTTACATGAAGAAAATATTGTTTTGTCCTCTGCCAGAATATGTTCTTCAGAGTGACGAATCAGCATAGAAAAGGATGCAACTTCCACATAAGATTTTATAAAATAGGTAAGCACATCATGAAAGATCTATAATTGTGGAAAAGGTCTATTATTCCAGTAGCTAAGGCAAATGTGCCATATACCGAACCAGACTGAAATCTTACAAGATTTATAGATAAGGCATTCAAATATAATACACGCCCAAGCATAAGTTTGTAGTAGACGTCGAGTCGCGGTGGATTATGGTTACCACTGCAGGAAAACTCCACGCCAGTTGATAGGTTAGACCCTTCTGAAAGCCAAATATCAGAAGGCAGTTGAAAGATGTAGTAAGATGTATTCGTTGGTGATCTCGTGGTATCGAAATTATACTAATACTAATAATAGTAATAGCGAAATAACCCACAAGCGAGACTACTGAGCGTACGAGAGTTGTACAAGGTTACAAACAACGGAAGAGTGTTTTATTGGCCAACTTTAACAAACAGGTGCAGTGAAGCAATCACTAGAACCGTTGTTTACAATAATAACTGTTTCCATTATTCCAATCGCGTTCTCTTCATAAAAGTAGGTCACTACAGGTCAACTGATGGAACTGAAGTAATGCATTTGACAACCTTATGTATAGTCACATATTCTATTCCAGAATAAATATATACAATTTTGTTCATTCAGCATGTCTGCGTTGAGAGTCTGTGATTTCGCATCTAGATGATATGAGTTATAGCATTGGATACCCGCATATGCCCACAAACATTCAGTTTTTTTCAGGCAAAATACGATTATTAGCCTTATCGAGCACTTTGTAGAAGTCTAGGAGATTAGTATGGACCGAATTCTTGCGTTCTTGTGTGATACTTCGGCTATTATAGTAAACTAAAAAGCCCGTGTTACATGATTCACCAGATAACAAACCATATTAAGATAAGGGAAAAAAGACATATTGAGAAGAGACTTTTGACGAGACTAATTGATAACCCTTCCCAATATATTAATTACTGAAGAGAGCAAGGGAATTTGATTGTAATTAGACGCTTTCATCCTGTTATCCCCTATGTGTAAAGTCATAACCACCGCGTTTTTCCAGTCAAAGAGTGGTTTGCTTTTGACAAGGAAGCAATTAAAGACAATAGCTAAAGAGAAGCAAAGATGACTCGTGAATTCCTACAGAAATTTAAGCTTACTACCATCTAGGCAAAAGGGTTTATGTAGGTTCGAGTGACCAGAAATTCCTTCGATCCAGGATATTCAGTATTGTGTATGTGTCCTTCCTCACAAAAAGTGGAGAAACTCAAGGTTGCTTTTCAATGACTTCGTCATACGAGGAAAACTGATTTTCTAGATCTAGATCTTTCTAGTTTGATTTTTCGGACACACGCGTTGCATGATAACATGTGGCACAACCAGTCGTTTGTCACTGGTATGATATCAATTGTTCTGAATAGTGCTATTGTTCCTGATGATATTGTGAGTATCCCTCAGTAGGATGAACGATGGCGTCGGTGTGTAGTCGTAAAGGTGCTACAGGTATTTAGATTTTGGCAACGCTTTTACATGTAACACCTTTATAATTGCATTGTAACGACCCGGTCAAACCAGAAATCAGAAATGAAGGAGTCCGATCGATATGTCAGGAAGTGTTTGGTCTAACCTGGGATACAATGATTTTGAGGCATGAGGACTGTGTCCTAGGAGGTTCAAGATTAGGAGGTCAGCACTTCCTAGTGCAAGATTAGAAACATTCCAGTTCAGCATGTAAGCACCGGTCAATACAATAAGTTACGTTTTCTGATAAGTTAAATCTCACCAGGTTTCTAATATCAGTCTATACAGACCATTCAAAACATATGATCATGCCTTTAATAGTCGTGTAGCATTAAAAACATAATTATTGTTATTTGATGATGCAAATTTGAGCATATTATACAGCGTCATTTTAGTTTTTATTGACTAAATGAGGGGTATTTTCCGTTTGTTTAAACTCGTGGGTTGGTTTCTTCCAAACGTGGTGCTCCCCTCGTGGCTAAGGCTTATAGCAGCTCACGTTTATAATCATGTCCAAAAGCGAGTTAGCATGTGTTTACGCTGCCTTGATGTTAGCTGACGATGATATCGACGTTACAGGTAATTGGGATTAAGTAGATATCTTTTGGCGTTCGAGTTTTTTATAGTAGTAATCTGGTTTATTTTATTAACCAGTGTAGGGACTTAATTACTTTGTAGTCAGTGTCACAATATATTGCAAATTTTTTGTAGACAGTCGTGTTACAATTGTCTGAGCTATTGTATTAATTCCGTATTTTTAGCTGACAAAATAAATACCGTCCTGAAGGCTGCCAACATCAAGTTTGTTGAATCATATCTTCCAAACCTTTTTGCAACGGCTTTGAACGGAAAGAATGTCAAAGATCTATTGATGTCCATGGGGTCTGCTGCACCTTCTGCTGTCGCCGCCCCGACGTCGGCCCCAGTGGCAGCGGCGGCGGGTGGTGGTGCCGAAAAAATGAAAGAACCTGCAAAGGAAGAAAAGAAACCAGTTTCTGACGACGAATCTGATGACTCGATGGGCTTTGACCTGTTCGGTTGATCACATCTTATGTACAGAATATATTGGATACACATGACCATGGTAGTTTTTTTAATGCTTATTACTGAGGGATACATGACGTCTGTTTCCGAGTAAATAATACAAACGCACGCCTTTCTCTTTGCCTGGTACTGTCATAGGGTTGCAATGTCATTACGTTTCTGAGTAGTTTTGTAACTAATGTAGTTTGTAGTCGACGTCCTCTCCTAGTTTTATTCACACTCGTCAGCAGGTCGGGCTAGCTTCGTGAACCATTCTTATCAGCGGCAAGTAAGCTGGTCTGCTAATTCATTGCATATTCTCGTACTGTTTATTGTTCCATCCTAATGAACAATGGCACAACCATTTGTTTATGAGTCAGGGGTTCTACATAATCAGTCAAAGCATTCATATTCTAGTATGTTTAAAAAAAACTCGGATATGTGGGTTGAATTTGATCTTGTTAACTCAAATTTGGTTACTGACCAAACGTTTCCAAAATGTTTGCTAATCAATTGGAAAGCTGTGATATAGGAGAGTACAATATCGCAATTTTAGGCATCTAAATTCCCTAGTTTCTGGAAATTCAATACTTAATTGGTCGTCTTACACGAAACACCATGATACCAAGTGAATCCTTACAGAATAGCAGTTGATACGGTTCGCAATAGGGCTATAACAAGATTCTCTTAGGTTCCTGTTGTTTGTTATCGCTTTTCTGTGACGATCGTCTAGTTGGAGAGCTACATCTTGTTTTCCGAAGCAGTAGGTTTCTTCGCGCCTGTCGTTACTGTCTAAGTAACACAAACCTGACACTTTTTCAGTAACGTTAGTCGAAGTGAACGTAGAATTTGAGACATGGGTACGCCATTTTAAGTCGCTCTCTACCCCGTTAGCACAGAAAGATGAAATTTCTAGAACAAACAACAGAGTAGGAGTGTTAACGTCGTTCATGTTTTTAGGGAAGACTAGCGATCGGATGTACAGTGCGAGGAGATAATGTGTACGGGAGCCAGAAAATGTGCCAACGCGAATGGCATGAGCTGTGTTATCTACGGTTTAAGACCGTTGGTTATAGCGACCACGCGAATACTGACCGTGTACTCTGCGTCCACCTACATGGCTAAGTCCAACAATATCTCACGGACTGACAGGTCCTTCCTGACCACTTTTGGCTTTCATACGGCCTTCACACCTGCGCCAGACATAATCACATGTAGGTAGTCAGTGGATGGGCATAGGTGGTGTATCCTAACCATCTCTGTCGATACACCAGTGACCTATCATTCATCAGTTGGTGGTGGGAGTTCCTACTTATATTCGTGTTGTAAGACGGACATGTTTACATTACAGTTCAGCTTCCCTACTCTATGTATGGTCTACTCGGTATTCTCAGAGTTTATACGACGTTCCGTTGGTTTTCAAACGTAAGACTAATTCTAATATATATACATATATCTCTTTAGGTTGCTCATAGCCCAAAGAAAAACTCGTGCAGGTTATCTTGTCCATCAAAGTGGCAGTTCTCCAGTAGAAGTGTATGAGATGTATTTGTCACGATTGGCAGCGGAGAATTATTTACGTGCTGATAGTTAGACTATATTACTCCTTCATGCGATTCTCCCCATCCAAATGTAAATTGTTACTCCAGGACTGGCCTGCGTCAACACCCGAACTAAGGATAGGGAGTGAAGCAGTCGAACGCGTGGACAACTTCACTTATCTTGGAAGTCTGATCAGCCCTAATGGATTGGTGTCTGACGAAATCTCAGCACGGATTCGAAAAGCTCGTTTGGCTTTTGCCAACTTACGTCACCTATGGCGAAGACGAGATATCCGTCTATCAATTAAGGGACGAGTATACTGCGCAGCAGTTCGCTCTGTTCTACTTTACGGTTGTGAAACATGGCCATTAAGAGTAGAAGATACTCGTAAGTTACTAGTATTTGACCACAGATGCTTTAGAAATATTGCTCGCATCTGCTGGGATCACCGGGTAAGTAATAGTGAGGTTAGACGCAGGGTATTAGGGAACGATGGTAAATCAGTTGATGAGGTGATGAATCTTCATCGACTGAGATGGTTGGGCCATGTGTTACGTATGCCTGAACACCGATTACCACGACGCGCTATCATGACTAGTACTGGGGATTGTTGGAAGAGAGTTAGGGGCGGCCAAACCAAAACATGGCATCAGTGTTTGAAGTCACTAACTTCTAGTCTGAGCCATGTTGGCAGATGCAGACTACCTGGTTGGGGTCCGCGTGACTATCGTAACCAATGGTTGGAGACTCTAGGTGACATGGTTCAGAATCGATCACAATGGCGTAGGTGTATACACTCTTTATCTTCCTTTAAACCTTGAGACTAAAATTGCTTCATATCTCTCTTCCTTCCTGTACTATATCCTTATATACAACCTATAATTTATCTACTACTACCACCACTAAATTACTTCTATGAATCCGGTGTTCATCTTGTTGTGCTAACGAGGTATGGCAGCTTGGACCGATGCATAAATGTGCCTGGTCCTACGTTGTAGCTGAATGACTCCTTCAAAGTCGTATAGGAATTGTGGGTTACACATTTATTATAGCTGATGAGGTGTCTGCTAGTAAACGTCTCCACATAGGCAATATAGGAGTCTCAGTAAGATCTAAAGGCAAGCAGACGACAAAATGAGGCGTTTAACCGATGTAACATCGGGCTCGACACGGAATGTCAGCTGGAAAATAGATCTATTTACACTTAAACGATGCTAATCTATGGGAGCTAGTACTTTGGGTACACCATTGTAACAAACTTGAGATATGGTTGGCTACGAAACCAGAGCTAGTGATCTTATGGGTTGTGATGTAAATATCCATACCTTTATTTCACGGGAAATAATGGATATTGTTTTATGCCTTTCAAATCCATTCTGGTTCCAATACAAACGACACCTGTGCATTCTGATTGTTGTTTTCTCGTCATTATCATTGTGAAGTGCAAAGGCTAATTAGCATACTGTCATAGACTGATTGTTACTTTAAAAATTAAGACAGTGCCTGGTAACATTTTGAGAGACCTAGAAATAAATAGAGATAAGTTGTGAGGGGTTAGGAAAAAATTTCCGAAGTAAATAGTCTGGTTCAGCGATAGTCAAAGAATGTCCCACAGTACAAATGTCTCACTGCTAATAAAAGTTAACCGAGATAAGTGTATTCAGACTGGAGAAGAGTGTACCGGTACATCCATCATGATGATGAATATTTGGACGAGAATCAATGTGCGTTACTTATTTAGAACTTGCTACCTAGTAATATATATTATGTGGTCCAAACTTGTACCATTCGAAATTATGAACCTCTAGCAACCACCATGTTTGACATAGCTTACACGATGTAACCAAAATGTAATGGCCCAAGCATTCCACATACTAGTTTCTGGATCCCTCCTATTAAAGAATGAGGTATCCGGGCGTAATGACTAAGTTACTGGGTTTTGGTGGGTGATGACATTGACGTGAGTACAAAAACGTTGTCTGGCGTTCAACTAACAAAATCTTTGGTATATAGGAGACATACTTCTGTTGCACAGAGGTCAAATCCTTATTGCTCTGTAGCTTCGAAATATAGTCTATAAAAGTAGAGGACATATGTAGTTGGCAATATTCCGATTCTATGCATATTTAAAGCACCATTCGCTTATGATGAAACTTCTAATATTGAGGTAAAGCTTAAGAACAGGAGTAAGATGAAAGATAGGGTCAATCAGTTAAGGTCAATGCTGAGAATGGTACAAATATACATTAACCCCAGTTACCACACCACAGCTTTACACGATGAACAGCAAAGGGGTCGAACAAATGTACTAGCTATTTATCATGAAGACCAAACATTGAGAATAGAGTTAAAAAAGAATGGATAAAAGGTGTGCATGAAGATATATTAAGACTGTAGATCTGTGCATTTGTGACCGATCCCGAGCCATATCAAAGATATAGCGTAAGTTAATTAAAGCCATTAATTGTTGGACTGTACCGTATCCAGACTTCTTGGTTCATAGACACGGATCTCACTGTAGGAGTTACATCCATTCACTGCTCATCTATAAACAATCAGTTACAGTAATTTTCATTCTAAAATCTCATTTGTCCCTTCTGAGCTACATTTCTTATTTTTACCTGTCTACTTAATTTGAATATATTTATATTATTTTGCTTATCAACTAGTGGATTTTCTCTCCATCTGGTATTATAATATGCATCGAATTGTACCAGTGGACATTTATTTCCAGTCATATGTTGACTATGATCAACTAGTTTCACTTCGAAAGTCATGTCATTCTAATCAACACAAAGGATATTTAACTCTTTATAGCAAATCAACGTTGTCGTTTTAAAAAATTCAATGAAAAAAGCAAAATATTAACACCAATATTGTCTGCTTAAGTTTATATATGTACGGAATCACAGAGAGCGAACATTCTTTTTCAAAGGTATACACATTTTCCTATCAGTAAATGGTGGTATATCACAATAGTCAGAGAAAGAAATAACACAATTCGAGGACGAAAACAAAAATCAGAAGAGAAATAACATGAAAAAGTGGTATTTGGATGCATAAACCACTTTAGGGATAGTAAGAAATTAAATGAAGCAAAATAGAGGACACAATAGAACAATATTACTTATCAAGAGATTGGATAGAGTAATCCCAAGAGAAATTAGCAGTGGGAGTTTGTGTGGCTGACACGAATCAATCACATCAAAAGTGAGAAAAATAAAATCAACAAACAAGTGACAAGACGAAATGCATTAAGGCTGTAAAATATGTCAACTATCGACTGACCTGTAGGAATATGCATTTAATTATTTATTTAAATCAGTTTAGGGTTTAAAAAAAGTAGGTAGGAACTGACATCTATTCATTCAATTCAATCAAACGATACAAAAACAGAGAAAATTAATAAATCTTTGGAAAAAATATAATAGAAATGATTATCGACATGTTCGAGAACTCCAGCTACGCGCTTTTCGC